CCGCGCGATGGGCTCGTCTGTCGCTTCCCGCCGGGACACCCCCTCCCCCATCGCGGTCACCAGCCGCCCAGGGCAGGGGCAGGCGAGACCACGCAGCACGCGCGGCGAGGGGTGGGAGACGACGGACAGACGACCCGGAGTGGGAAGGGGCAGCGTACCTACCTGAAAAGCAGACGAGGAGCAAGGACAGCCTAGCGCCACTTGCTCGGGGGAGGAGATCATTTGCTGCAGGGCCAGAAAACTCCGGAAGAGACCACCTACAGGGGTGTGTGTAACCCATTCACGTGGGAGAGGGAGTGGACGGGCTCATTCCTGGATCCCCGGAGGGGGTGACTCGTAGGCACCGGAGGAGGGACGCTCCCATTTCCTACGGGTGCAGGGGAACTTGAAAGGAAGCCGGTCCAGCTGGGCACTGGTGGTTCACACTTTTAATCCCAGCACTCGGGAGGCAGAGGCAGACTGATCTCTGAACTCGAGGCCAGCCTGGTCTACAGAGCGAATTCCAGGACAGCCAAGGCTACACAAAGAAACCCTGTCCCAAAAAAACCAAAACAAAGAAAAGGAAAGGAAAAGAAGCTGGAGATGAGAGGCGTCTGCAGAAGCACCTGAGTGGCTTTGCGGGGACTTCTCTGCTTAAAGCTAGAGACGTTTGTTTTGAATCCCCTGGATGTCCTGGCGCTAGTATTAATGGGTACCACCCTGCCAGGCCCAACATTAGGGTTCTCTCTCTCTCCCTGTCGTTTTTGTAGTTGTTGTTTTTCTGAGGCAGTCTTACTATGTGGCTCTTGGAACTCTCTATGTAGACCAAACTGGATTCGAACTCACAGCGATCCACCTACCTCTGCCTCCCGAGCGCTGGGGTTAGGCCCAGCTTCAGCATTATTTCTGATGGTATAAAATCTCAAACTCATACCGTTATGTGTTCGAGGCAGCACAGGATCTTCGAGGAAGACAGAAGGTGCAAAGAGAACAGAAATTGGAGATGGCCGAAGGGCCCAGCCCAGGTCCAACCTGGCTCCTGCCCAACAGATCATCTTGCACCTCGGAGGCCTCTGGTCCTGTCTCTAAACACGAAATGCCACCTCCGACTTCAGTTGTGTGGGCCCGGATTCTAAAACCCATATCCGCACCCAAGGCAATTTTCAGTCATGTCCCGTGTCCGTGGCTCTAATCCCAAACTAGTGCCAAACCCCAGTGTTTCTCAGATTCCCAGAGTGTCACTCTTCCCTAAATGGCCTCGTTGATTTCCTGCAGCACCACCTACAGGTTGGAAGTTCACATCTACTCATTTCTTCCGGTTAGGTTGAAGATTTTTATTTATTGTGTGGACCTGGCATGAAGGCAATAATGAACACATAGTGTTTGTGGAATGAATATTAATTACATGAACGGGCCGGATGCTCGCTGTACCCGTGTGTTGAGGAGGAGAGTGTCAGACATGACGGTGAAAGGCCCAAGACTGAGGGTTTGGGTTTTTCTAGAACATGGCTCTTTTTCTCTTTGTATGTTTGGAGCTGAAGATGACTCTCCATACTCCGGCCTCTACCATAATGGACAGGGCCTCTTAAGCTTTTTCTGCTTGAGCCCCACCCCAAGACAGGAGGTCTCCCTACATAGCTTAGACTGCCCTGGCACTCGTTCTGTAGAGCAGGCTGGCCTCGAACTGGCGGAGATCCACCTGCCTCTGCCTCCCGAGTGCTGGGATTAAATGCTTGTGCCACCACTGCCGGGCACTCAACTGGCTTTTGGTTTTTAATTTCCAGCACTTGTTTCTATAAGGGGAGGAAACTTTTGTGTATGGTGAACATGTTGCAATTGATACCATATAGTCTAGGAATAACTAGTGCTCGTCAGCAGTGTGTAGTTCAACCATGTACACTTACATGTTCCTGCCATGACATATTTTGTTTTGCTCGTTTTTGTGTTTTGAGACAAGGTCTATGTAGCTAGTCCTGCCTGTCCTGGAACTTGCTATTGTAGACCAGTCTGGCCTTGAGTTCAGAGTTCTTCCTTCATAACGTTGCCATGAAAGACTCTTGCCACCACCACAGGCTTGGAGATGCAAAATGGCTAAGCGCTGTTCGAAACATCTTAGATTTATTATGTTTGATTTTGTTGTACTTTCAGAAACCTTTTCCAGTTACCAAACTTTTCACAACCCCCCCCATTGTCATGTAACCCCATATGAGCCTGTGACCTAGAGCTCAGTTCCAGAAGCCATGTGAACTACTAAAGATCAGAGAAGCAGAAAGAAAGGGCATGTATAATCATTAACATTTCAGCAGGGATAGACACTGGCAAGTTTAGTTTGATGTGAAAGTCTGAGGGCCAGCTGCGGTGAAGCAGACCTGCAATCCCAGTGCTTGAGAAGTAAAGGCTGGAGAAGAGAGTAGTTCCAGGCTACCTGAGGAAAAACTAGATAGAAAAACTAAAAACTAGCTGAGCTGGGAGACAAGAGCCAGCTAAACAAAACAAAAGTAAAGCTAAAAAACGTGTGAGGGGACGTGTAGACAGATACATTGAAGGCAGAGAAAATTCCTGAAGGGAGTGGAGAATCAAAACTCATATAAATACGATGGTCCATTCCAACCTTCTACAAACCGTATGGGGAAGTACTATTATCACCGGATTTTACGTATTAGGAAGTAGGTGGGAGGTAGTGGCATAAACCTTTAATTCCAGCAACTCGGGAGGAGGGAGACACAGGCAGATGTCCGTGAGTTCGAGGCCAGCCCGGTCCACAGGGCGAGTTCCAGGGCAGCTGAGGCAACACAGAGAAACCCTGTCTCAAAAAAAACAAAGCAAACAAACAAACAAACAAAGGAAAAAAAAAAAAGAAAAGAAAAGGGAATAGGCTCAGAGAAGTCACAGAGAGCCCCAGTGAGCGTGGGGCCTCGCGCCTCCCATTTGGACTGGTGGGCCAGTAGTCCAAGCCAATCAGCATCGAGTACGGGGGCGGGCCTGGAGGGGGTGGGCGGGGCTAAACTGTCGCTCTGGGTGCCTCGTGCGTCTCTTGGGCGGGGAGGGGGCGTGGCAAGGGGCGCGCATGCGTGCGGCGGGCGTGCCTGCTGGTTTAACCCCGCAAGCAGCACGCACGCTGCAGGGCGGCCAGGAGCGCGAAGGAAGGCACAGCTTCGAGGCGTGCGGCCCCGCACGGAAGGAGCCATTACTCTCCACAGCCACGTGGGGGCCGGGCGGGGTTCGTTAGGAGAGAGACGGGTGAGGCACCCCTCCCCCACCCGGTCCCCACCACCCCTACCCAGCTCCTCTCCCGGCCTGCCGAGCCGCCCGCCCCTTGTGCCCGACGTCCTGCCCAAAGCAGGCCCCGCCGCGTCTCTGGGTGCCGGCGTTCCGGCCCCCCGTCGTTACCTCCTCACATTTAAGGTCTCCTGTAGCCCAGGCTGGCCGCAAACGTCTCACGAAGTTGAGGATGACCTCGAGCTGCCGGGCTTCGTGCCTGGCCTGCCCGCCTTCGCCACCCACCATGCGGGCTCCTCTTCCTGCCCTCACTCACTGTTTCCGTTTCCTGTGTCTGGCTGTACCTCCCCCGAGCCGCGTAGTTCCACTCTGTCCCAGATCTGTCCCGTTCTAGTCCCCTCAGAGTTCTGCACTTGCTCCCGATCTTATTCCCAGCTTCCAGTTTTTGTGTCTTCCTTTCCTTTTTATTTTTTTTAATTAAAAAAAAAAAAAGATTTCTTTAAATACAGTAGGGAGAAGGGGGAAAGTATAGAATAGGCCAGTCTGTAACTGACTGAAGATCAATTAAGATAACTGACTACCTTCAGACCAGCCCAAAATGCTTTTCTTCCTTTTTTTTTTTTTTTTTTTTTTTTGGTTTCGAGACAAGATATCTCTGTGTATGAGCCCTAGCTATCCTGGAACTAGTTCTGTAGATCAGGCTGGCCTCGAACATCTGCCTCCTGAGTGTGCCACCCACGACCTGGCTGTGTAGCCTTAGCTGACTTCAAACACATAATCATCCTGCCACAGTCTCCCAAAGGGGGATGGATATAGGATATAGGCTTGGTCCATCTTCCATCTTTATTTACTTACTTGTTTTTTTGTTTGGTTTTGGTTTGTTTGTTTTGAGGGTTTCTCTGTATAGTCCTGGAGTTCACTCTGTGGACCAGGCTGGCCCTGACCTCACAGACATTTGCTTGTGTCAGCTTCCCAAGTGCCAACACCACCTCACTCATTTCTTTTTAATATACATGTATAAAAATATACAGTAGTGGTCAGTGAGCAGAGAAACATAGGTTCATGCAGTTGTTAAGCAAGTACTCTACCACTGAATTGTAACCCTAGCTTTTATTTTTTCCGTGATCAGGGTTTCATGTGTGCAAACTCAGATTTTTTTCTCTTAAGATTTTTAAAAATTTTTTTGTGGTGTGTGTGTGTGTGTGTGTGTGCGCGTGCGTGCGTGCGTGCGTGCGTGCGTGCGTTGGGGGTTGGTATGGAGAATGTGAGTGCAGATGCCTGCAAAACCCAGAAGACATCAAATCCCCCGGAGCTAGATTTAGGCTGTAGGGCACATCTGAAATGTAGGTGCTAGGAACTGAGCTCGATCCTTTGAAAGAGCATTGAGTGCTTTTAAAGAGCTGAGCCAGCTCTTCAGCCTCTACAACACAGACTCCTTAAAATTTTTATTTTTTAGGCCTGGCAGTGGTGGCACATGCCTTTAATCCTAGCACTCGGGAGGCAGAGGCGGGTGGATCTCTTGTGAGTTCCAGGTCAGCCTGGTCTACAGAGTGAGTTCCTGGACAGGCTCCAAAGCTACGCTGGTTGGTTTTGAACTCACTCTATAACCTAAGCCTGCCTTAAACTTTTGATTTTTCTGCTCCTGCCTTCCTGAACAGATGGGAGTGGAGGCCTGCACTGCCAGGCCTGGCCATCACCTTTTAACTGTTTTTCCATGTTCTTATTCCCTGTTACTGTGTTTCCCTTTTCTGATCTCTTTTCCTACTGTCATTACCTGGACCTCATTTTGGAGTCCTTCTGTGGCCAGGCCTTTTCAGTGGCTCACTGTCTACTTTTTCTCACCTCTCTAAATAGTTTTCTTTCTTTGCCCTGACCGTCTTTTCCCACTTAGCTACTGTCCCTGACTTATCTGTATCTGATGACCACCCTGCCTTTTAGGACATCATGGACCCTTGGGGACGAGTCCCCCAGCCTTTCCAGCAGCTTGAGAAACCTGGTCGTATCCGTCGTCGCAAGACTAGGAGGGAGCGAAACAAGGCCCTAGTGAGCAGCCATCGGCCCCTGGCCCGACAGGATCCTTCCCTGTCCAGTCGGGAGCCGTCTGCAACCCTGCAGGATCGTGTGGCCTCTGCAGCCCCCAAGCTTGTTGTCATAACGCAGGGCAGGTTGAGCCGGGAGCACCGGGGTCTCTTCAACCATGAAGTGAAATCCCTGGATGTGGCCCGGCTGCTTAACAATGGCTCCTTGGAACCATGTAACCCCCCACTCCCCACCAAGTCTTCCTGCAGCCCAGTCAGAGTCCAAGAACCAGCCACACCGTCAAGAGGCAAGGAGAACCAGGTACCAGGAGGCTCAGGCTCAAGCCCACCGAGTTCCCCAGAGCTCCCTGTGTTGGGACAACTGTTGGAGGAGCTGCAGTGCCAACTGACTCTGCCCCAAGCCTTTCCCAGGAGGAGCCTAGTGCAGGAATCCAGAGATGCCATCATAAGAACCTTACAGGGCTGCCATGGCTGCGTGCCTGATCTTGCCATGGTTCTCCGAGGTTGCCAGTCACCTTTGCCTGGTGAGTCCACGTCCTATCTCTTCTCCTCCCCTTTCACTTCTCTGCTACAGTTCAGCTGATCGCCATACTTCTTTCTTCTGTGCCAGAGATGAAGCCTAAGGCCCCCGTGAGACAGAGGACGACACCTTCGGTTGTCAGCGTTCCTGAGCATGCTTTAAGGGAGGGGAGGCATAGGACTCAACAGGGGACAAAGAGGTTTAGCTTCACCACACCTCATACTTGCCGAAGCACCCCTTCACACAGGGTGAGCCTACTGCCGCCTCCAGACCACCAACTGCCATTCTTGCCCTCAGTATCTTCACCATCTGGGCCGGCTTGGGGTCCCCCAACAGCTTTTGATATGCTGAAAAGCATCTGGCTCATAGCCACACCACCCCCACCTCAGCCCCTACCCCAGCCGCCATCACCCTTGTTGCCCCAAACATCTGCCTTGGACTGGAGCCCCGACCCTCCTGCCTCACTACGAAGCCTCTCCTGGGTAGTGACTCAGAGAAGTCCAGAGGCTTGGTCCTTTCCCCCAATGAAACTGTACTGAGGAGGCTCTGGGCAGGGTTGGGGGGCAGGCATCCCATACTCCCAGTCACATAATAAAACACCTTCTTGGTCCTCTTGATTTTCAGTGAGTGGCTGTCTCAGAAAAGCACATTTAATATTGTTTTTTTTTTTTTTTAAATTATTTTTGGTGTTGTTTTGTTTTCTGAGAAAGGGTTTCTCTGTGTCAACCTGGCCGTCCTAGAACTTACTCTGTAGGCCAGGCTGTCCTGAACTCAGAGATCTGCCTGCTTCTGCCCCCAGGGTAAAAGCAGCTTTCTTTAGCTGTGAATTCTAAGGCCACGATGGATAAGTGTATCCCTTGTTATCTTGCTGGAGCCTGCTAAATCAGCAGGAGAGGGTGCATGCCCCTTAGTGCTTGGGATGATGGAGACAAGAGGGAGTTCACAGTTATCCTTTGTTTGAGCCGGCCTGGACTATGAGTGCAGTAAACCCCAACAAACAACTTTCCCTTCTAATACACACAGTACATTAATAATCATTCCAAGGGGTCACGTGGTAAAAACTTCACACTCCGAGTTTTCCTGTGCATTTATTTTCCCTCCCTCTCCCTCTTCCTCTCCCTCCCTCCCTCTCTCTCTCTCTCTGTGGTTTTGTTTGTTTTTTGAGATAGTCTTCCTGTGGTAGTCCTGGATAACCTGAAATTTGCTATATAGACCAGACTGGCTTAGAATTTGGGGCAATCCATCTCCATCTCCCAAGTGCTGGAATTAATTTCTTAGGTCATGCCTCATCCCAGGAATTTTATTTATTTGTCATTTTGAGAATGTAATTTAGAACTACATGCATGCTAGGCAAACATACTACCACTGAGCTACATCCCCAGCCAGAAAGCTTTTTGTTTGTGGCTCTTTGCTTTTTGGTTTTGTTTGGTTTTGTTTTTTCAAGACAGGGTTTGTCTGTGCAGCTCTGTCTGTCCTGGAACTCTGTAGACCAGGCTGGCCTTGAACTCACAGAGATCCCCCTGCCTCTGCCACCTAAGTGCTGGGATTAAAGGTGAATGCCACCACTGCCCAGTGGCTCTTTGTTTTTAAATAGATTCTCACTATGTGGCCCTGGTTGGCCTGGAGTTCAATGCATAGCCAAGTCTGGCCTTAAACTCACCAAGAACTGCCTGTCTCTGCTTCCCCAGTGCAGGAGTTAAAGGTGTGTGCCACCGGTCTGGCCAGAAAGCTTTTTAAATGGTATTTTGAGCTGCAGTAATTTTGTGCCGTGGAGGGTGAAGGATGTAGCCAGGAATGTTGGGAGTCGGAGAAGAAGAATCAAGTTGGACTCTGATGCTGAATGAAGGAAGGCCCTCCTTCCTGGGGTGCTCATTGCCCTGTGGAAAATGGTAGGGTTAATAGTAGCTAATAAGCTTGGGAGGGAGGGAGGACCTACACTGTCCTTACCTGTCTTATGGTGTGGAAATGGCAAAGCCAAGATTTTCACCCGGGCATCTGGAGTTCACGCTTCTGGATATCTCTCAACAGCTGGGGTTCGCGCGTACGTGCGTGCGTGCGTGCGTGTGTGTGTGTGTGTGTGTGTGTGTGTGTGTGTCTGAGTGTGTGTGAGTGTGACCCAGTGACAATGTTTCACTCTCTATGTTAGTCTATGGGCACTTGACAGGGTTTGTGGAATGGGTAATAATAGAATAATTTGGGATCTAAATTGGGCGGGAGTGGTCAGGACACAGGTTTTTGGGTTGTGGGCATCCTGGAGTCTGCAGTGCTGAGGAGGCCCTGCTTGTGGGAATGTGAGTTCAGTTTAGGACGCACGCGTCTTGAGGTATCTTGGATACTCCTGTAGAAGAGGACCAGAGCTGAGGTGACGAGGTGACGAGAATGGGAAAGGGTGGTCTCTTTCCGATGGGAAGGGCAGGAGTCAGTTTGGGTCTATCACGGAGGTGGGGGCGGAGTCCGGCGGCCCCTTTAATCGGGGGCGCGCGCTGGCCAGCCCGCGCGCTCTCGCCGCCGTCACCGGGCCGGAGCGGGAGCCAGAGCAGAGCCGAGGCCAGAGCGGGAGGAATGGAGCCCTCGCGCGCGCCCGCGCTGCGCCGCCTGCTGCCGCCGCTCCTGCTCTTGCTCCTGCCGCTGTCCCCCCGCGCCCGGGCCAAGTACGTGCGGGGCAACCTCAGCTCCAAGGAGGTGAGCACATTGAGCCATTCCCCTGGCGTTCCCGGGCCCGCGGGACCCAAGAGGGGAGGATACCGCCCCGCCCCCTGCGCCCCTCCCGGGCTGGGGCCTGGGTGATGGGGGACTGGGCTAGGGTGGATGCTGCGGATGGGGATTGCATTGTGGTTGTGGGGGTCAGGCAGGTTGGGGAGGGGTCGGTTGGGAGGGTCGGAGTTACCGGGAGCACAGCTGCACCGTGGTGGTGCTGAAAGGGACAGCACCTCTCGCTCCACCAAGTGGAGGTTGCTTGGCCTGCTCAGGACCAGCACGGAAGGTTTGGGAGATTGCCCAGGATGTCATGGTCTGTGGGACCACCTTGGGGGCATGTGTGTGTGTGTGTGTGTGTGTGTGTGTGTGTGTGTGTGTGTGTCTGTGTCTGTGTCTGTGTGTCCGTGTCTGTGTGTGTGTGTGTGTGTCTGTGTCTGTGTGTCCGTGTCTGTGTGTGTGTGTGTGTCTGTCTGTGTGTCCGTGTCTGTGTGTGTGTGTGTGTGTCCGTGTCTGTGTGTGTGTGTGTGTGTGTCTGTGTCTGTGTGTCCGTGTCTGTCTGTGTGTGTGTGTGTGTCTGTGTGTCCGTGTCTGTGTCTGTGTGTCTGTGTGTGTGTCCGTGTCTGTCTGTGTGTGTGTGTGTGTGTCTGTCTGTGTGTGTCTGTGTGTGTCTGTCTGTGTGTCCGTGTCTGTGTGTCTGTGTGTGTGTCCGTGTCTGTGTGTGTGTGTGTCTGTGTCTGTGTGTCTGTGTCTGTGTAACTGGGGGAATGCAGCTGAGAAAGTGCAGGACAGATGGTGGCAGGGATGTACACCTGGCCACCCATGGTCTTTTTCAGTGTGTCTGGAGGATGGGGAGGAGGAGGGGAGGAAACTTGAGGGACATCTGAGGGGGAAACCAGGGCAGCAGGAATTTAGACACAGAGCAAATGGATCTGGGAAGGATTCTGGAGGTGACTTAGCCACCTTGTGGCATTTGAGAAGCCAAAAAGCCTGGGAAAGGGAAGAAAAGTTGAGGGTCTGTGGGTGGGGTCGAGCTGAGTTCTTGAAGAGCTCAGATTTCACTGGGTCCTTTTGCCAGGACTGGGTGTTCTTGACAAGATTTTGTTTCCTCTCCGATTATGGCCGACTGGACTTCCGATTCCGATACCCCGAGGTGAGTCTCCAATGCACACTCCTAAGGCTGGACACTACCTTGACCCTCCAAGGCAAAAGATGTACAGTTTCCTATTAACAGCCCCCAACTGCCAAATTTCTGGGTCTTCAGGCTAAGTGCTGTCAGAACATCCTCCTCTATTTTGATGACCCATCCCAGTGGCCAGCTGTGTACAAGGCAAGGGACAAGGTGAGGGCCACGAGGAGTGTATGGTGTGTATGGAGGGGCAGAAGGCCACAGCCGTTCAGGGGGTAAACATGCTTCCTGCCTTGCCCTAGGACTGCTTGGCCAAGGAGTCTGTCATCAGGCCGGAAAACAACCAGGTCATCAACCTCACCACCCAGTATGCCTGGTCAGGCTGTCAGGTGCGAGGGAGTGTGCAGGTGCTAAAGGTCAGGGGCCTGGTGGCACCAAGGACAAGGCTTCAGCCTTCTGGCTTCTCCCCAGGTAGTGTCCGAGGAGGGGACTCGCTACCTGAGCTGCTCCAGTGGCCGCAGCTTCCGCTCTGTGCGTGAAAGATGGTGGTATATCGCACTCAGCAAGTGTGGGGTAAGGGGCTGGGGCAGCCATCTGGCTCTTCCCCCCCTTTCCCTTCCTATTAACCTGCTCTACCTACCCAGAGCCCCTCTCAGGCCTCCCCCCTCCCCACAGGGAGATGGACTGCAGCTGGAGTATGAGATGGTCCTTACCAACGGCAAGTCCTTCTGGACACGGCACTTCTCAGCCGATGAATTTGGTGAGCAGATGCTGGGTTAGGGGCCAGGCTGGAAGCCGGGAGCTGGTAGAGAGATCCACTCAAAAAGCTTCTCCTACCCCTTCCACCGAACCCTAGGGATCCTGGAGACGGATGTGATCTTTCTCCTCATCTTCACCCTCATCTTCATCCTCTCTTGTTACTTTGGATGTGAGTACAATACACGTGGTGTGAGGGTTAAGAGACCTGGGAGAAGCCGGGCGGTGGTGGCGCATGCCCGCCTTTCATCCCAGCACTCGGGAGGTGGAGGCAGGCGGGTCTCTGTGAGTTCGAGGCCAGCCTGGTGTACAGAGCGAGGAAACGGAGGAGCAGAGAGGAGAGATGCCCCTCCCTCACCTGTGTATAGCTTTCCCGTTTCTTTCTTAGATTTGCTGAAAGGTCGACAGCTACTCCATACAACTTATAAAATGTTCATGGCTGCAGCAGGAGTGGAGGGTGAGGTTTGAAAGTATGCCAGATTTTGGGTTCTCTGAGGACACAGCCTTGGGAGGAGGGCATGGACGCCTGGGTCTGAGGGAGGACGGCTTCTGTCCGCATTCTTCCGTCTGAGGAAAGTAATGCTGTAATCTGGCCTGTTGGGTCTGAGGGAAAGAGGCTGGGGCCATAGCCTCCATGGTTTCCTAGCAGGGCGTAGTAACAGATACTCGGGGCTTGAGATGGGGGTGTCAGAGGGCCAAACATTTGGGTCATTGTGCTCGGGGACAGTGACGTCCCAAAGCTGCTTTTTGTCTCGCCTTTTCTCGGCCTCTCATCTCTTCCAGTCCTGAGCCTCCTGTTTTTCTGCATCTACTGGGGCCAGTATGCCACAGATGGCATTGGCAATGCGGGCCTGAAGATCTTGGGTGAGAATACACCGGAGCCAAGGGAGGGCAGGGCCCTCACCAGCGGTCTGCTGATGTCTCTGAGCCTGAGCCTGAGCCATCTTCCCTTCCTTTCCCAGCCAAGCTGCTCTTCTCCTCCAGCTTCCTCATCTTCCTGCTCACACTCATCCTTCTGGGGAAGGGATTCACGGTGACACGGTGCCCGGGCAGGGATTGCTCAATGGGTGGCTGGGCTGGGGAGCAGGGCAGGGAGGTAGAGGTGGGGGGGTGTGGCCGCTCCCCCCTCCCTGACAGCATCCATCCTGCTGTCTTCCCTCACGGCCTGCTTGCCAGAGGCCGCATCAGCCACTCGGGCTCCGTGAAGCTGTCTGTGTACATGACCCTGTACACCCTCACCCACGTGGCGCTGCTTATCTACGAGGCAGAAGTGAGTGTCCAAGGGTGCTGCCAGCCCCTCCCTCCTGCTCTGCCTCCCCCCACTCTGGGTTTCTGCCTTCCCATCTGAGTCTCAGTGACCCCTCCCCCTTCACCCTCTCTCATTAGCTCTCCTCCCCCTCGTCTCTCAACTGTCCATCACAGTCCAGCTCCATGTCGAGGACTCAGAGACCTAGTTCTGGTTATCTCCCCCAATCCTAGCTGGGCATTCCCGCCCCTACTAAGGGCCCGTTTCCTCCTGTGAAAAGTTAGGGGGTCCTCGCCACCTTCAGGGCGGTTTACAGGCTTCCTGTCACATCTGGGTGATAGGAGGGTCTCTTTCACTGTGCCAGTGTAGATGGACTAAGTCACACATGGTATGGGTTGTAGTATTGTAGGCTCCTTATGTAGCCATGTGGGAGCTGCCCCGGCTCTTCTGGCCTGGCCCTTATCTCTGCCCCTGCCCTGGTGCCCAGGGACACGATCCAGGGTCAGAGGCTGGGGCTATGACAAACCTTGTCTTGGGGGTCCAGTTCTTTGATCCAGGCCAGGTACTGTACACATACGAATCTCCAGCTGGCTACGGGCTCATCGGGCTGCAGGTGGCTGCCTATGTGTGGTTCTGCTACGCTGTGCTGGTGTCCCTTCGTCACTTTCCTGAGAAACAGCCCTTTTATGTGCCCTTCTTTGCCGCCTACACTCTCTGGTGAGACATGGTGGGGATTCCCAGCCTGCCTTTCCCCACAACCTAGAGGGTCTCAGGGAGGAAAATGGGCTTCAAGACAAGAGATTTGAGCTGGGCATTGTTGGGGCAAATCTTTAGTCCCAGCATTTGGGAGGTGGAGGCAGGAGAATCTCTGAGTTCGAGGCCAGCCTGGTCTCTAGAGTGAGTTCCAGGACAGCCAGAGCTACACAGAGAAACCCTGTTACAGAAACAACAATAACAAAAAAGTAGTTGTTATCTGGAATCTGCCATTTCTTATCTTTAAAAACTAGAAAAAAGTTACTCTCCCAAAGTAAAACGGTGAGAACATTAAAAAAAAAATGTCAAGCTGGGTGGTGGTCACAGCACAGGCCTTTAGTCCCAGCACTGAGGGCCGAGGCAGGCAGATCTATGTGAGTTTAAGGGCAGCCTGGTCTACAGAACAAGTTCTAGGACAGCAAGAGTTTTACACACACACACACACACACCACTTGCATTGAACCCCCACCTCCAGAAAAGAAAAAAACAAAAACAAAACAAACAATAAAGTCTTTCATTGAACTGGGTATACCTTTAACCCATACCGTTAACCATAGTAATAGTATTGGAGAAGCAGATGCTGGAGGATCAGGAGTTCAAGGCTAGAAGTCCAGACTACATAAGGCCGTACATGTTGCATGGTGGTGGTGGTCCACAGCTTTTGATCCCAGCACAGGGGAGGCAGAGGCAGGCAGATGTGTGAGTTCAAGGCCAGCCCGGTCTACAGAGTGAGTTCTAGGACAGCCCGGGCTACACAGAGAAAGTGGAAAACACTCAGCGCTTTAGAGTGTTTGTGCTTTTCCAGAGGATACAAGTCAGTTCCCAGCACCCACACAGGGCTGCTCACAATGGCCTATAATTCCAGCCCCTGTGCCCTGTGAAGGCCTCGGAAGCATCTGTGTGCACTCACAGTGATAAATAAAACTCCAAACAAACAAACAAACAAAACCCCGAACCCCAAGACCAACAAAAACCCTCAGTCACAGTTACTATTATTCAACAATGTTAATGTGAATTAGGCAGATTCCAAGCCAGACTGCCTGGCTGTAGATCCCAGCTCTGAAGTGTATGATCTCAGACAAGGCCTTTGCTTTCTGATCTGCTATTGGAAATGGAAACCATACCTGTTTCCTGGACTCAGTGTGAGAGTTCGATGAGTTCATATATGTAAAGGGTTTGAAATGTATGTAAATATATAATATATATCATGTGTAACTGTAAAATACAGTTAAGTTTTTAATTGTTACTGTCATTCATTAATTCAACATTGAGATATCTATGGATGTCCTATCAGACAACAGGGTTAGGGCATGAAGCTGAGTTAAATTTAGCCTAGACTTTGCCCACAGGAAAGTCACCGTCTGGTTTTTGAGGGCCATTCTCCAGTTTGGGATCTGCTTAGGGCCTGTGAGTGGGGCCATGGGAGAGAGCAGAGGTAGCTGTCCACTCTAAACTTCCTCTGCAGGTTCTTTGCTGTCCCTGTCATGGCCCTGATCGCCAATTTTGGGATCCCGAAGTGGGCCCGAGAGAAGATCGTCAACGGCATTCAGCTGGGGATCCACTTGTATGCCCACGGCGTGTTTCTGGTGAGGATGGCTATGGGAGTGGGGTGGGGACGGAAGGCCGGAGGATGTGTGAGGCTGGACTTCCTGTCCTGTCTGCTGCACTCACCCTGTTACCATTCTTCATTTTCGTTTGATATGGGCCTGCTCCTCAGACTAGTCTGACTTGTGATATCCTGTCTCAGTGTCTTGAGTGCTGGCATTACCGGCCTGTGACACCACAGTTGGTCACTGGAAGGCACTGTCTGCCTGCTGGGTATACTACCATGTCCCCCGGAGCCCTCCTCCTCTGCCCCTGTCTCCTGGCTTCTTCACACAAGCCCTCTAGTCTTGCCCACCCACCTCCCATTTCTGTTCTTGAATCTGTATCCCCAAGCTTGAACATTTCTGTCTGCACCATCACTACCCATGCAAAGCCCTTGGTCTCTTCCCCCCACTTTCTCTCCCTCCCCATTCTCTCAGCTTCGTGGGACAGTCTGGGGCTCTTAGGAGCCTAGATTGGAGCAGTGTTTACAGCGGGCCTAGGCATGAAGAGCACCTTTTTCTTGAGTTAGGGTCCCCGGAACCAGCTCTGTAGACCAGGCTGGCCTCAAACTTAACAGAGATCCACCTGCTTCTGCCTCCCAAGTGCTGGGACTAAAGCCGTGTGCTGCCCTGCTCAGCTTGTTTTTAGCTGTTATTTGTCCTGGTTCACATCTTGCCTCCTTTCCTTGGCGACAGTTCTCATATTCACTTATTTAGCAGTTTGTGTGTTGCGGGTGGGGGGTGGGTGGGTGTTTTTTTCGGGCAGGTGCTCATTACGTTGCCCTGGCTGACCAGGACTTGATATATAGACCAGGCTGGCCTAGAACTCACAGGGTCTGCCTGCCTCTGCCTCCTGAGATAGCCCTAACTATCATTGACGTCACAACAACCCTCCTGGCTTGGCTTTGTGAGTTCTGAGATTAAAGGCCTCTGCCAGCACCCTAGGCTCCCCACACCCCACCCTGCACCTCCACCCCCGGCTTTCTTGATAGGTTGCCAGGCGGCCCAGAGTTGTTGTGTATTCTACATAGAGTGTAGAAACTAAGCTCTGAAAAAGGAGGTAAGTTGCGGCCTTTGGTAGCAGAACATGCACTTCAAATCCTGTTTTTCTCTGGCAGATAGGTCTCACGTGGGACAGCGCACAAACTGAAATACGTATTGTTAAACTTGCTGTGATAACACATGCCTGTAATCTCAGAATTTGGGAGTCAGAGGCAGGAGAACCAGGGGTCCAAGGTCACCCTCCCACAGAAATATAGCAGAAACAATTATATAGAACAATGTAATTTTTTGAGGCTAGCTCAGCAGGAAGTCGGAGGGACAGAAAGAAAAGAAGCCCTGAGAACCCACCACGCAGGAGGCTCCACACCAGTGGCTTTCGTTTCCAGCCTCTCATCTTTCCAGATGGGCACTGTGATTGGTGGCTGGTGAGGCTCAGTTTAATCAGGGTGCCCCAGATCCGCACTTAGCGAGAGATGGGGCCAAGAGAAGTGACACCAGCTCGGCATGCAGGACAAGCGCACTTGCTGTCACTTCGCGCCCGGCCAGCCACCTTCCTTCTGAGACCTGTCCAGCTTAGGTCAGCACCGCCCCACCAGCTCCTGCTCCGTGCTGCGCATGACATCCAGCGCCGCGGCAGTGAGGCTGAGTGCTCGGCCTGAGCGCTCGGCCGAGGCTCATCCAGAAACATCACCGGTAGTCTGGAAAAGTCCAGCCAGCTTTTATTGAGAGCTAGGCGCTGCTCTAGATTCAGCTTGGGATTTAACAGGGAATAGAAAAGGTCTGAGCTAACCGTGGTGGTAAATGCGTGGTGGTAAATTGAAGCAGCTGGTGGCTGCGGCAGAAGGATGCTCTATAGACTGTCCCACAAGAGGGGACAAGTCATTCCTGCTTTGAAGGGCTGACATTCTGAACAGCCTATTTACTGATGTTTAATAGAACCTTCTGTGTTTATGGACATATTCTAAGGCTGGGCATGGTGCTGAACATCTGTAATCCCAAATTAGGAGGGGGAGCAGAGGTTTGGGAGGGGTTCAGGCATTCAAGGTCATCCCCAGCTACACAGTAGGTCTCAGGCCAGCCTGGACTACATGAAACCCTCTCAAAAACAAAACAACTGAAGAACGGTAAAAATATTTTCCCCTAATCTTTAATCTGTGCTCTCCAATAAGGTGGCTGATGAGTACTTGAATTTAGGTAAGACCATGTAACAGAGAAACAACTCTACGTTTCATTTTGACTCCATTTAAGCCATATGTGGCTAGTGGCTATCGTACTGGACAGCACAGGACTCTGTCCTTAACCCATCAACTATGACCTATCTATAGTCCGGGTTGGGATGGAGGAAACGCCCAGCAAAGTAATTAGGCGTGTGTTGTGAGGAAAGGTCAAAATGCGGGGAGACACCCCTACTCCTGGTGTCTAAGGCAGCCTGAGGTTCAGGAGGAACGTAGAGAGGTCAAGCAGAGGGCAGTCATCCAGGTCTCTAAACTTTATGGGGCCTGAACACCGATTCTTTAACCTGTCTTTCTCTCAGATCATGACTCGCCCATCTGCTGCCAACAAGAACTTCCCATACCATGTGCGAACTTCGCAGATCGCCTCGGCCGGGGGCCCGGGGCCCGGAGGGAGTCAACCGGCAGACAAAGCATTCCCGCAGCACGTCTACGGAAACGTGACGTTCATCAGCGACTCGGTGCCCAACTTCACGGAGCTCTTCTCCATCCCCCCGCCCACCTCCTCTGTAAGCTCCGCAGCCCCGGCGCCCGAGGAGCTGCTGGCGCCGCCCCTGGAGTACCTGACCCCGCTCCCCGCCCCGCCGCCGCCCCCTGCACCCTGTCGCCTGAGCCCGCCCCTGGCCTTCCGTACTCCCCGCGCCCCAACGCCCCGACTCGACCGTCCCCCGGCGCCCGCGCCCACCCTGCCCGACTGGGTCCTGGCTCTATTGCGCACACCCCCGAGGACGCCCCGCGCCGTGCCCCCGCCGCCCGCCTTCCGAGGCTGGTCCCCATCTCCCCCACCGCCGCCGGAGTTTGCCCGGCGCACCCCGACGCCACCCCTTGAGTACCTGGCCCCGCTGCCCAGGCGCCCAGCCACCCACTCCTTCCCTGAGTGACACGTGCGTCCATTCCTGGGGTGGTGGGAGTCCTCTGGGAGGAGGGGACGGGCCTTCGGGGCCGCATTTGCTCCCCGGAGGGTCCCAGGCGGCCTCTGACCCTGACCCCCTATCCCAGGCCGGGAAGCAGGTGGAGGAGACAGCGGTGGCGGCGGCAGCGGCCCCGAGGGGCCGCGTGGTGACCACGGCCGAGCCGGGCGCGGCCTCCCCGCCCCCTCCCGCTCGGTACCCCAAGGCGGTCGACTCGGGCTGGGATGGCCCGACGCCGTCCTACCAGCCGCTCGTACCCCAGACGGCTGCGCCTCACACCGGCTTCACCGAATACTTCAGCATGCACACGGCCGGGGGCCCTGCACCCCCGGTCTGAGCAGCCCCACCCCGCCTCTGCCCCACGGGCGGCGCGCCGGGCCCCGCCTGGGCTCCGGACCCCTCTCTCTCCCGGCCCAAGGGCTGGGCCATGCCAGGCAGCCTCCCCGCCCCTCCCACACCCCGCGCCCAGGTAGGGTCCGCTGCGTCCCGCCCCTTCCCCACTTGTGCCAAACGGTCCCGCGGGAGCCGCTCTCCGCGTCCCCTCCCTTAGCCCCTGCCCCGAACGGCTCCGGAATCTGGACTCCCGCTGTTCCGTGATCTCCGCCCCCCTGACCCCCTCCGAGACCTCTGACCCTGCTGGACTCCGGATCACCCGTGACGACCGACCGCCTGGACCCTGCCCGTGACTCTCCAGGACCCTGCGACCCTCGGAGCCGGTGTTCAGGGACGGATATTGTGAAGCTGGTCTCTGGGGTTTGTGACCTCGGGCCCGCGCTTTGTCCGTCCCTATGTGCATGCCAGGGGCCTCCCGAAGTCCCTGGCAGAAAGACGTTTTCTCTTCTTGCCAAAATAAAGAGGATTCGTTGAGTTTTTAATCTATAAATGGCTTCGTTTCCGTCTTAATTTGTTTTTTAAAAAGACGTATTTATGAGTTTTCCCGAACGTATGTCAGTGTACTATGTGCGCACCTCCTGCAGAAGGCCAGAAGGTGTTGGATCACGTGGGTGCTGGGAATGGAACCCAGGTGTATTGCAAGAGCAGCAAATGTTCTCAAACGCTAAGTCATCTCTCCAGCTTCTTTTCTGTCTTGATAGTGCTTAGAAACATTTTAAGGCCCAGGCGGCTGAGTGTGTCCATCTATGAAATAGCATTTTTCAGTCTCGCGGTCCGAGCCTACAAACCTGATATTTATGTTGATCCTGAATCCAGAAAATAACCATGCAGCACAGCTTTCTACAGCTCCTGTGTTTTACTTTTATTTATTTGCCTTCACTTTTCCTATCAGATAAAGGCGCCCTCCAGTGGCACAAGCTTTGCTCAGCCACTGTCTGGCACCCACCGTTTGAACGCGATTTGAGGTTGCACGCTCAGCAATACGCATGCGTAATTCTCTCTGGGCTAGATTCCTGTTCCCGGCTGCGCAAGCGGCTTACAACAGATGGGAGGGAAAGTTTCCGGAAGTCTTCCTTAGAGAAGGGGCGGGGCCAGGCGCTCCGCAGTCCTCCCAGGGCCGCTCTGACCCGCCGCTCTCGCCTCCTCCCAGCCTGGCCTCCTGGCAGAGGCTGCGCGCCTCCCGCCCCCAGCCCTCTCCGCGGGTCTTCCCCAGGCCGCTCTGGCCCGGGAGTGCCCGGGTCTCTCTGATCTAGCCCATCCGGCACCGGAGGGAGGCGCGGGTGGGTGAGCAGGAGAGTGAGCCCAACCGAGGCATCCGGGCCGGGACCCCGGAGGCCGGCTCCGCCCCCGCCCCCGCCCCCGCCCCCGCCCCCGCCCCCGCCCCCGCTGGCGGGTCGTCCCGGGAGTCTCCCGGCCCGCACCGGCTGTGGAGGGCTCTGCTGGGCTGTAGATCTCGTCGCCCCCGGGGACAGTCTCTTCTGTTTGCTTGGGCCTCGCAAGCGGCCGGAGTCCAACTGTTGGACGCCGTTTATGGGGTCGGCCCCCCATGGGGGCGCGAGTCCGTAGGGGACCCCTTCGGTCCCTAGGGGTCGGCACTGTCCACAGCGACCCGGTGTCCAGGGCCTTCCCTGGGTCTACAGGGCCCGCCCCTCGGCGTCAAGAGCCCACCAGCAGTGGCCGTCTCCTTGGCCCGGGCTGCGTCGCTGGTCCACTTCTGGGCTACCAGGCCGTGCCAAACATGCTATAAAGGTTGCATCTGCACGGCCTCACTCCCGGAGAGGGTCCCCTCCGGGTCTTCACGGCCCTGCGGTCTCTCAGGATCCGGGCGGGAGGCGGCGATGGCCTTGGGCCGAGCTTTGGCCGTGGCCCTGGCCCTGGCCTTGGCAGTGCCGGGGCCGCAGTCGCTCAGGGTTCTGGCCGGTGACTGCAAGGGGCAGCGGCAGGTGCTACGGGAGGCGCCAGGCTTCGTGACGGACGGTGCGGGCAACTACAGCGTCAATGGCAACTGCGAGTGGCTTATCGAGGGTGAGTGGGGCCGTGTGGGTCGCTCACTCGTTCTCTAGCTCATTCATTTGTGCGTCCATCCACTCAGCGCGTTCCGACAGCCCGGCTCCTTTCCAGGACGTTTGCTTGAAGTGTTGAACACACAGGGTCGCTGTCAGCCTGGGCCCTAACTCCACAGGAGGGGATGTGTGAAGAGTCAGATTGAGTCTGATACAAATCAGGAGTATCGGAGAGGCGTATTTTTCCTCACTTGAAAAACTTGAACTTAAGTGCTTAGAATCTAGGCTCTGTTTCACACAAGTTTTGTGACTTTGGACAGATTAATTCCGAAGGCTCAGTTTCCTTTACTTCAAATGGGCATAACGTTAGTACTTGCCTCTTAGTTAAAATGCAGAGAATCGGATCTTTAATACGCTGGGTGTCTGGTACAGTGTATTAGTCAGGGTTCTGTAGAGAAATAGAACTTAGAGAGTGAATCTATATAATAACAGGATTTATGAGAGTGCCTTTCCCGCTGTAGTCCAGCCAGCCCAGCAATGGCTGCCCACCAACAGAATCCAGTAGTTGCTCAGTGCATGAGGCTGGAAGTCTCAGCTGGTCCTCAGTATACCCCAGAATCGCGACGAAGTGGCCGCTAACGCCAGTGTAGGAATGGACTTACCTGTGAGAGTGAGGGCAGACAGGCAAAGCTCAAGCTTCCTTCCTGTCCTTTCTGTAGGCCGCCAGCAGCAGGTGTGGCCCAGATTAAAGGTGGGTCTTCCCACCTCAAAAGATCCACTATAGAACTGGGTCTTCCCACGTTAAAGGATTTAATTACGAAATAAAAAATTCCTCACAGGTATGCCCAGCCATTTGAGTTTTAGTGAGTTCCAGATGTAGTCAAGTTAACGACAAAGAATAGCCATCACATAGATAAATTTCCAGTAAATGCCACTGGAGTTATTGCTGTGTTTGAATACTTCAATAAAACCAAATTTTCAGTCACTCACGTGCCAGAAAGCGTATATGCCACCATGGCACGGCAGGGGACCAGGGACCTTCTTCCCAGCAATCCCTGTGAGGGAGACTGACATGTTAACGGTTGACATACCAGAGTGCTCCTGTGGGAGAGGCCAGAGGAAGTACATGAGATGTCAGAGATGACACCTAAGGGATCTATGGGTATCAGCCAGGAAGAGAGAGGAAGAACATTCTGGAAAGAAGGCACAGCCCGTGCAAAGGCTCTGTCCTGCTCCTAAGGGCTTTCCGGAAGTGGGGAGTCCAGGGAAGACATCCATCCGTCTCGAGTCTGGTTGGCACAGGGGCATGGGTGGGAGGGGACAGGATCATGGGATGCTTTTGAGTAAGTGTGCGTGCTAAAATCTAGTGTGCTAAAACAGATGCAAGGAGAAGCCAGGACTGGTGGCAGAGGCAGGAAGGGAGGTTTGTGAGTTTGAGGCCAGCCTGGGCTGTAGATTGAAACTTTTTTTTTTTTTTTAAAGATTTGTATATTTTCATATTTTCTGTGCATGAGTGTTTTGTCTGCATGTATGTACATGCACTTTGTGTGTGCATGAGGAGGCCAGAAGAGGGCATCTGGTCCCCTGGAACTGGAGTTAGGGATGGCTGTGAGCTGCTATGTGGGTGCTGGAAAGTGAACCCTGGTCCTCTGAAAGAGCAGCAATTGCTCTTAAACTCGGAGTCATCTTTCCAGTCTTCAGGTTTTTAATTTTTTTTTCTTTTGGTTTTTTGAGACAGGGTTCTCTGTGTTGCTTCGGAGCCTGTCCTGAAACTCCCTCTGTAGACCAGGCTGGTCTAGAACTCACAGAGATCCGCCTGCCTCTGCCTCCCGAGTGCTGGGATCAAAGGCATGCGCCACCACCGCCCGGCTTTTTAAAATTTTTAAAAGACAGAATGTTATGTAATCCAGGTGGCTTGAGCTGGATGGAGACGTAGTTGAGGCTGGCCCTGGACTCACCTTCCTGCCTCTGTCTCCCTAATTCTGGGACAGTAGGTGTGCACCACCATGCTTCACATGCACTTTGACTTGAATCCAGGGCCTCATGCATGTTAAGCAAGCACTCTACCAACTGAGCTACACCTCAGCCTGAGACTGACACCTGCTCTGTTCTCTCCTCCATGTAGGGCGTGTGGGCGTGCGTGTGGGCGTATGTGTGAGCATGCGTGTGTGCATGCGCATGTGTGCATGTGTGTGTGCATGTGTATGTGTGTACATGCATTGTGCACATGTATGTGTGTGCGTGCATGCACATGTGTGCATGTGTGTGCATGTGTGCGTGCGTGTGCATTTGTATGTGTGTACATGCATTGTGCACATGTATGTGTGTGCGTGCATGCACATGTGTGCATGCACATGTGTGCATGCCTGTGTGTGGGCATGTGTGTGCGCATGTGTGTGCATGTGTGTGTATGTGTGTGTGTGAGCATTTGACTGCACGCACACATGTGAGTGAGCATGCAGCTACAGATAACATGTAGGGGTCAGAGGACAACTTCTTATAACAGTCCTTACCTCCCACCTTGTCTGAAGGATTTCTATTTTGGTTTTTTGAGACGGGGTTTCTCTGTGTATCCCTGGCTGTCTTGGAACTCGCTCAGTAGACCAGGCTAGCA